TCTCTCTCTCTCTCTCTCTCTCTCTCTCTCTCTCTCTCTCTCTCTCTCTCTCTCATGCGCGCACCGTTGTTCGGAGTGTAAATCTATCTATTACTCACTGTCTCTCTCTCTCGGCCTCCATTCTTTGAGCAAATATGGTGATATACAAGTCGGCTTAATTCTTTTAGGGGACGGCGCAAGTACACTCGTTCCTTGCTGGTAAAACACATGTGCCTCTAAATTTTTCTTTCCCTTCATCCTACGCAAGTCTTGTCTATCGGGTTAACTGTTCGCCGACTTTTCCGCGAGGCATGCATCAACTTCATTTTTCTTTTCGTCGTCCTCGTGAATCGTTGTTGATGCCTCTGTGTGGTTTGCAACCCGAATTCTACTACTTTCCGGACTTCGTGCCCCTAAATTTTCCTTCCTCTTGCGACTTCGTGCTCGGAGTGCCAACAAATCGTTCTCATCTGCACGAATGTCCGCCAACACTTGCGCGACGCATGCATCGACTTCATTTTAGTTTTTTCGTCCTCGTCAGTCCCCGTTGATCCGTCCATATGGTTTACAGCCCCGAGACTACTACTTCCAGGACCCATCTTCGTCGACACGATGTTGAGGTCTGCCACTACTCTATCTTCTTGATGGACTTTACAGCCTCAAATATGACTACCAATATTCATGGCACGTGGACAAATACGCCATCTCGTTGACAACATGTCATTACGACATTCCTGTAATTTCTCTATGACCTTGGTTACGAAGCCGAAAGACATGTACTATTGTGAAGGAAGTTTCAGAACTATTGTTCACATCTTCAGCTCAACAACCCCACTCCTGCTCACAATATCGTTCCCCCGTTCCACTGCCCGAGATTATATAGCGCACCATGTTATTTCGACAGTCTTGAAGCGCGACAACGTACTTTGCTAACTGGCGTTGGGAAAACATCAACTTGTCCAAATAGCGGAATTGTTTTTTCCCGTCTGCATTGTTGATTTGAGGAAACTTTCCTTCCTCTTCCCCATCTGCATTGTTGATTTGAGGAAACTTTCCTTCCTGTTCCTCTCCAAATGTCATCCTAAGTGACGCACTGTATCCCCAATACGAAGACAACCTGACAAAAAAACAAATGTTACACGCACTCAGTGCACTTCTTAAAAACTTAACATTTGTACAGTACCTCCCTGTGCAATGATCATCTGTCCAAAAAATCCAAAGTGGGAGCAATATGATATTCACCATAAATAAACGGGCTAAATATACTACTTCATTTGTAGATGGTTCTATACCCGGGGGGAGGGGTGGGGGTGGGGGTGGGCTGTGTATCTTTTGAATGGAGAACGGGCGAAATTCAACGGCCGTTCATCCGTTTAACGGGCCCCAGGACCCCCGTTAAATCCCGTTTAACGCAAAAACGGGGGCTTGGCGTTGAATTCCGAAAAACGGAATTCTCGCTTTGGGCCTCGGACATGTGTGCCTACGTGCCCGAACACTCAAACCTGAAAAAAAAAATAAAAAAATTCACCTCCCTTTGACAACCCCCCCCCAACACCCCTAAAGGACCGAAAAATCCCTATCTGACCCAGAACACACCACCCGGCCCCTCCCCCCAACCTGCACATTCCCACCACGACCCCCAACCCCCACTGCACTTCAACGCCCTCAGTGCCCTCACACCCCGAACAACAGACACTACCCCTACACCCCCAATACCCCC